CAATGACCCTGGGGAAGAGTGAAAAGTCCTCATCCGGAGAGAAGAAAAAGCGGTGGAATCAACGTCGGATGAACTGACCGTAAACCCCCTTCCCTGTCCCCCTGCGCCGCTTGGGGGGAGGAGGTGGAGAAACCGGGATTAGAGTTGAGCCCGGGAAGAAGGGAGGGATGGGGGGAAGGTGTTCTGTTTTTAAGATCTGTTTGTTCTTTCTTACTTCTCACTACTCCTCTCTGAATTGTTCTCTTAATAAATGTAATTAATTTCCCCAAAATCGAGTCTGTTTTGCCCAGGACGGTAAATGAAAGTGATCTCCCTGTCCTTATCTCAAACCTTAAGCCCTTGGAAATATTTTCTCCCCGTGTCTAGTGGAGAAGGGGAAGTGAGAGAGCAGCTGTGTGGGTCCCTGGCTGCCAGCCAGGGTTAAACTACGACAAAAGTACAGTTTAAATCTCCCACAGATTTTCTGTCGGAACCTCATGGGATGAGTGGAAATCTCAAATTTTGCTCAGATCCAATATCAATCTTTGTTTAGTATAAAATACTCTTTGACTTTCTCTCATCAGAATCCCATCCCCTTTAATAGGTAGATCATGGTGGCTCATAACTTAGCAGGTAACTCACAGTGGTTACAAGGGTTTCACAAGTCTTTTGGGTTTTGTCTGGGTTTTTTTTTTGTTTGTTTGTTTTTTATTTTTCATTATTTAGAACATAATCGAAACTCCATGATTACTTAAGATAAAACCCAACACAGCTCCCGCTTTCCTATCTGAATACCATAAATAACTATAGGCAGAATTAACACTGTGTTTTATCATGTAATCACCTCCTAATTTGAATTGAATCATTAAGCATTTCTTCAATTCCATTCAGTCAATTCATCTAGACATCTAAAGCCTGTCTCTTTAAACTTCCTTTTTTACACCCTTTAGCAGGGCAGTCCATTTATTCACATGCATAGCATTATTGTTAAGGAGACAAAAGTCTTCACATGTTCTTCCATCTGTTTCTTATCAACACTAGTAATCTTATGCTTCAAATTTTGTATTGGGTCAGGCTGAGGTGGAGTCAATCTTCCCATAGCAGCTCTCTCAGTGCTGGTTGTTTTTGTTTTTCTCCTTGGAGTGGTAGCTAGAAGGGTGTTGATAGCACCCCAGTGTTTTGGCTAATGCTGAGCAGTGCTCACACAGCACCAAGGCTGTGGTTTTGGTGTGGTTTTTTTCCAACGTTCCCCCAACAGTAGACTGGAGGTGGGTAACATCTCGGGAGGGGATACAGCCGGGCCAGCTGACCCAAACTGACCAAAGGGGTATTCCATACCATATGACGTCAGCTCAGACATAAAAGGGAGAAGGAAGAGGGAAGTGGGGGGGCATTCGCTGTTTTGTGTTTGTCGTCCGGAGCAACCACTACGCGTACTGGAGCCCTGCTTCCTACAAAAGCGGCCGGACATCGCCTGCTGATGGGAAGTAGCGAGTAATCTTTGTTTTGCTTTGCTTCCGTGCGTGGTATTTGCTATTGCTTTATTAAACTGCTTTTTTATCTTAACCCACGGGCCTCTTTTTACATCTTCCCTCTCCCCTGTCCATCTAAAAGGGGAGTGATAGAGCGGCTTTGGTGAGCTCCTGGCCTCTGGCCAGGGCCAAACCACCACAAATTTAAAAACACCTTCTTCACCAAGTTGCTCAGTAACATTCCAGTTTTCATAGCGTTTACTGCAAAATATGCGGACAAACCACACCAAGACTATGTGACGTAAAACACATTATATTGGAAATTGATGCCACAGTTATTTTTCTTTCCTTAGGACTCACAACAGATAATGAACTTTCAACAAATCATGAAATACGGTAATATTTTTGAATATACAACTACTTTGCTGTTAGAAAGTGTACAGTACATTCTTACAGAATCTTACCAACAGCAGACTCTTTCCAATGACTTGAACTGGAGCCACTCGAGTTGTCCAATACATCCAGCTCACTGTCTAATTCAGAGAATGTATCTGCATAGGAAAATGAAAGCAAAGAAGCTTTTAGCCCACCTCGGGGAAGCATAATAGTACTCCTGATGCTTCTTTTTCTGACTACCTTTCTCGGAGTTTTCTAAAGTGCTGTGATCCTCTACCAGGACCTCTTCATATGTTCTTTCTTCATCTTTTCCACATGCAGATTGACAACTTTTAGCTGGAAGGTCAATATTTTCCGAAAATTCACTTTTGCAACTGGCTGCTCCATTGCTGCTGTGAAGACTCAACTTCTTGTAGTTTTTCTGACAACAAAGAACCAAAACGAAATGTTATGTGTGAGCCTTATCCAGCACTCATTAGAAAACCTGCAAACAAAGGTATATATACACACATAAAAAATGTATATATACACACATAAAAATGCACTCTTTGTTCCCACTTAGCTATTAGTCCAGGACTTGACAGCACCTGTTTCAGCCACTGATTTTAAATTTATAGCAAATCTTTTAAACTCTTAATCTAAAGAAATATTTTCTGGCCTTTACGTAAAAGGCATCTTTTTCTTAACTAAGGTCTTTTCATAGCAAATGAAAAATATGAAACAAATGCCAGACCAGAAGAAAATATTTAACAAACACAAAAACCCAGAAGACTGGACAAAGATAGTAGGTTCCCAGATACAAGTAATAGGAGATTTACTCTCTTCCAGCTTAGATGATTAAGAGCAGACCAGTTCTGAACAATGCAAAACGTGCACAACAGTCAAAATGGTAGGAAAACATGTAGCGAACTCGCTATGATGTGATGCCAAAGGGACTCCCCAAGGCTGAGCTGACCAAACGCAGACTGGCATTACTGAACCAGAGCTAAGAAAATCAAAACATGGAATATAAGTTATTTGCCTGTAACATTTCAGTGCTGAATCTTGACAGTAGCATGGAGTTCTTTAATGAATATAAAATTCTGCCCTGCTGCTGTCAATGTAGCTGTTCTGGAAACAATAGAGAGATCTCGTCCCTGTTATTGCTCCTATTTTAATGCAACATATTTTGAAGGTACACTGTTTTTATGATCTCTTCATATACTGTTCCAGCTCTTCTCATATTATTTCTGTTGTGCATACATAAATTCATGCTGTTTCTTACTGTATCATGTCATAGCAACATATGATAAAGGAGAAAGGAGATATATTATATGAATTTATCAGTTTAAACAAATTAATATCTTTAATATTAAAGCAATTTCAGAAATAATATATTCCTATATACTATACTATATACTTATATTCTTACCAAGTGTGTCAAAGACAATTTGGTCTGTATCCAAGAAAATGTTCTTGCAAAGTGTTTCCCATGAAGTATTTTGGGACACAGCAGAACGGGTGCACTAGAATGCCCTCCTCCCTCAGAAGCCTAACTGCACCCCTGAGCACTGACTATGCCACTGTCTGCATAATGGTCTGCTTCAATTCTCCATCCTTTGTTCCATTCCCAAAACGGCTTGTAAGAGATGGCTTGCCAAGATTTTCTCTTTAAAGTCAAGTGGTAAAAGATCATTTTTTATTTAAATACTGGACTGAGCTTATGTCCAAGATGGCACAACAGCAGTGGCTGCAGTGTAGCACAGCATGGGAACCACTAATGATGACTCTCAAGTCTAGTCATAGCCTATGAGCACACTTACTGTGCCCTTAACAGTCAGTGCACGATTACATCAAAGAAGACAAAGTAAAGAAAGAGAAGGGTCAAACCATATGGGCATTTCAAACTTAACTTTCTTTTCAACACTGTCGGTACTGAATCTCACACTCAGACAACTAATTGCTAACAGTAACTTGGAAATCAGTTGGAGCTGAGGGACAAAACAAGATCAAAAAAGACTGCTGTTACCAGCTGGTGTCAGACCTAACTGCCATGTCAAGAAAAGAGACCTATCTGCAATGTGTGAGCGATTCTGTAGACCTCATGAGAAAAATAATCATCAGACCTACTACAGAAACTGTTCAGAGATCAGTGAAACATATCCTTAAAGTATATGTAAAGCTATAACCTGGCTATACATAAAATCTGGCCTATTTACATAATACCCGAACACAGAGAACTACAGTATTTCATTACTAATCTGAGAGTAATAAATACAGTTACTGTGATATATTTTATCCTGCCTAGGCAATAGGCAATAATTTTAAAAAGCAAGATTATATACTGTTGTTTCTCCTTTGAGCAGGACACCTGACTGATTCAGAAGGACAAAAGTAACCTGACTGGAGGAGGATGGGATACAAATTCAATGGCACTTTTGCTCAGCATTGAAGTGAGATGATAAAGACCTAGATAAGGATATAAGGATATAACGAATGTAATTTCATGAGAAGACCATGGAGAAAATATTCTCCAACACCTTGAAACAACAATTTCCATATGTCTCAGAGACACTTGTTTCAAATAAGCAGAAAGACAGGTAGTTACCTTTTTAAGAAATCTGTGAACAGTGGGATATCCAAAACATCACAAACATCAAAACACGGGTTAGGTTTACATATACTCGTTTGAAATTTGCGTCCCAGCCATGAAGAAAAACCTGTCTATAAGATGAGCTTCTTAATCCATACCCTGTATACTTGCACTGTCTCCCTCTTCACTGTTCACCATTACCACTATAAAATCAGATATACTTTATTTTTGGAAGTGAAACCAAATTGGGTTTTTTGACTTCCAACAGAAACCTAATCCTTTATAAGTAGAAATTGAAACTGTCAAAAAAAAAAAAAAAGCAGGTTTAACTAAGCTCAAGATATTGATCTTCTGTTTAACTCTTTCTTACCACATTTCTGTTCAGAGGAATTAACTTTTCTGTCTTCAAAAAATATAGAGCTATTGAGTGGCATTTACAAACAGTGTTTAATTAATCTTCTTTATTAGAGACAACTAATTACAGCATTGTACTAGTTGACTGAATTTCTTTTTTAAAAAAATTAGAACTACTTTCAGTATTAAACTATTTGCAAAAAAAGAAAAGATTGCAATAAAAGGAGTAACAGCTGACATGAAATTGTCAGGAAAAAACATACTAAACAAAGCTATTTCTTTCTGTAAGAGGGCAACAGTTGTTGTGCACTAGGAACAAGAAGTCGATGTTATTGTTAATGGCTTTAGTTAGGCTTTTGACAATGTTTCTAATGACAACTTACAAGAAAGCCACGGAAACGTGATCTAGACAAAATTATGATCAGCTGATGTATTGAGTTTGCCTGGCCGGATTTCGGTGGCGGGGCAGGGCTGTAGAGGCGGCTTCTGCAAGAAGCTGCTAGATTTCCCCTAAGTCTGACAGAGCCAACACCAGCCAGCTCCAAAGACGGACCTGCCGCTGGGCAAGGCTGAGCCTATCTGTAATGATAGGACAGGAACGCCTTCGTGAGAACGTATTTAGGAAACAGAGTAAAAATAATTGTGCCACACAACCACTGGCAGAGAGACAGAGGAGTGAGAATATGTGAAGACACCACAGTCAGTGAAGAAGGGGGGAGGGGGAGGATGTGCTCCAGGCTGGAGCAGAGAGCCCCCCGGGTCGTGGTGAAGACCATGGTGAAGCAGGCTGTCTGCCTGCAGTCCATGTTAGTGACGGGGTGTAGATGTCCACCTGCAGCCCCGTGAAGGACTCCATGCCAGAGAGGGTGGATGCCTGAAGGGGGCTGTGACCCTGTGGAAAGCCTGCGCTGGAGCAGGTTGCTGCCAGAGCCTGTAGCCCATGGCTGGAGAGAGAAGCCCACGCTGGAGCAGGCTGACTGGTAGGACTTCTGTGATGCCGTGGTGCACTTGTGCTGGAGCAAATTGACCTTAAAATTTATACTGAACTTGGTAACTACACTGAGTGTCTGTTAGACTAAAAATGGGTAATGAGCATAATTTTTCAGGATCCTTTCTGACCTTGGTCTAAAATCATTCAATGCTGTCACTGACTTGCATTATAATCTGCATAACAGATAGAATGCCTATTAAATGTGCCTAGACTGTGATACATTCATATCATATATCGTATTACAGCATATGCATCATACAGAGTTGCATCAATGCAAATGACGATAGGAGTTGAAGAAAATTTTGAGAAACTGGAGAAACTATAAGAATTTATAAGTTTAAGAGAAAGAGAAACTATAAGAATTTATAAGTTTAAATGGGAAGAAAGCAAAGTTCCACGAACAGTGAGAAACAATTGTACAAATGTACAGACTGGGGAAGGACTACCCAGACACTAACTCTTAAGGAAAAGATATGGGGGTTTTGGTGAATCAGAAACAGGACTCACTGATTCCACGCTGTTATGAAACATAAACAACATACTGGGATGTATAAAGAAAAGAATCATCCCTAAGAACTGTGTAATCATTCTACTTGGTATCAATAAGGTTCTCAGTGGGAGTAATTGAGACCAGTTTTGAACATAAATTAAAAGACATGGAGAGATAGAAAAGGAGAGAAATGAGAATAATTAGAGGTCTACAAAGCATGACTTACAAAGACAGAATTTGGTTATTCAGTTCGACGGGGAAATATAAAAGAAGAGAAATCTCTTACATATTTCCATGAAATGTATGCAGCTTAAATGGCAACAAGTAAAATTTAGGTTAGTAAACTTTAGGTTAGACTTTAAGACCACCCAACCATAAAGTGTTCAACTGTCACATCTATCTGTGATCATGCAGAGATGCTGTGTTCTGGGGTTACTCTGGACTTAGTGCTCTCAGAGAACTTTTTTGACACTTAAAGAGTGGGTCTGAAAGTTTCAGTTGTCATATACAGCCCATGTGCAGACATGCATATGCTTATCTAATATCTCCCGGAAACAAGACATACATAACACATCTGCTCCGTCAAGCATAAAGCAAGACCAACATTTTCTGAAAGCCTCAGACTAACTGCAGATATAGTAGAGAGCACAGTGTGCCTGTGTTACGGGTATGCCCAGGATTTCCAACAATCTTCTGACAGTGCTTCAGGCACCCTCATGGTTTTCCAGATGTTATCTTCAGATGGGGAGGGGGAAGAGATTCATTCAGATATGGCTGCTGTAAAGACAAACTGTAAAGATAGTTTTTGCATTTTTGCTAGTGTCAAACTGTTTCCTAATTTGGCATAGTTTGCTTTGGAAGAGATTTTCTATCATTTCACATTTTTATGACTGACTGGTCAAATACCTGTCAGGAGTGACAGATAGCTCAAACGCTTGGAGATGGACAAGATAATCTCTGACAACTCCTCCTGACTTATATTCTGTAATTCTGTTAAAATACTTTGATGAACTA